GTGTGTGTGAGTGCTTGTGGGTGAGTGTAACGATAAACGGTGTTGTGTGATTTGAATTGACTGAAAAATCATAGGGATTTTTACTTTAAGCTTTTGCTAAGAAATATTAAATTTTTTAATTTAAACTCTTTTTTTACACCCACCACAGCGCTCAGGCAGCGTGCTCTCCACTGTCTCGGCATCGAATGGTGCGGCATTGTTTCAGCGCTCCAGCAACATCGAACTCAAATTAGCAGAGATGAGTGCACCCATGGACGCAATACTCAATCCGGTAAATAAATTTGAATATAAATTCGTAATTAAATACATTTTTACTAAAGAAACATATAATTTAAATAGAGAACGATAACTTGCATACATATGAATAAGCGCGATCGCTCGTTTAAATCGGCCGCAATAACAAAGAAATCTATGTACGCGATTTTGCAGACAGCCAGTTAACCTGAAGTTTACTTATTGATAGACGCTATCAAGTATACTTAAGCTGACAAATATGCATACATTTATAAAGACATATTTACGAGTCCATATTTGCTTACTTATATACGCGCAAGTAAATCTTTTTTCCTATACATATTTGCATACACTTGAGAGTTCAATAGTCGCCCGCCCGCCCAGCATGGCCGATGTTTCATTTAAAACGCATTTTTTTTAAATTGTCTTTATTACATTTTCCATAACTAACTTCTATTTTTCTTTTAATGGGCTTTAAAACGCTAAGCTTGCAGAGTTTTTTTTACAACTTGGACCGCATTTTCGCGCTTTAGTTGCTGCGCCTTGTGCTCATCGAGCGCAAAAGAAATACGTTTGTTCTAAAATTGTACTATTAGTACTGCTTTTCATGTAATATTCTTAAATAATGTTTGTCTATTTGCATATTCACTTAACGGATGTACTATAACAAGTATTATTATTATAAGCGGCTAGACACGTAATATATGACCCTTTTTCGCGTTCACAATCACACCTGAGGCTGAGTGTTGTTGCCCTCTCGCGCGAAATTAGTGCTTATCAGTTGCCGCTAAGCAGCCTTGAGAGCGTTATATGTAGATAAATTGCGCTCTACTTGGAGTCATACATACGTACATACATAAGTATTGTGCAAGTATCTGGGAAAATTCGTATGTGAGAACTATTTAACCCACTGAAAGTTTTATTATGTAGGTTTGGAGATTTTGAAGAAAAGACAAGTGACATACATATTTACTGATCAGTTTTGACAATTTTTTTTTCAAATTAATTTTAATAATTTTTTGTAAAAACTGTTAAACGTTATGCTATCAGATGTTACAGCTGCACCTCAACCTGTTTAATCGAACGCCATAGACAGCATAAATGAAAATTTTGATTTACATACATATGTCTGTGCATACATTTTGGAAATGTGGTAACTTTCTTTCAAGATTTCAGAACTCAGTTTGACTTGACATTTCAAAAAATAGTAACCCTTTTCAAAAATAATTTAGAGGAACAGCCTTTTGACCTCTTTCGTTTGACACCCGTATTCTAATTTCTAATTTAAACTTTTATTAATTGGAGACAATCTCTTTCGTTTGACATCGATATTCAAACATTGGATTCAACTTGTCAATTAAATTGATTTTGAATTACTAAAAGGCAAGCCTATTCAAATGTACTCCCAAAATAGAGCCTTTTAAACATCTAACCTTTGATACCCATACTAAAATATTTCTTCAACTTATTAATTAAATTGTTTCTGAATTTCGAAACAGGTGGCAAGCCTTCTTATAGCATTTTCGATTGATAACTATGTATATTAAAAGGCTTCTGTTAACTTATTAATTAAATTGATTTTACCTTTTTGATCAGGTCTTAAAATATTTTTTAGAAAAACAAGTATTTTTGACATTTATATTAAAATATTCCATTCAATTTAAGTGACTTCAAATTTCTGAACACATAGAAAATATAGAAAATATTTTCGAAATTAATCTTTCTAAATTAATTTTGAATTTCTAAACAGGTGGCAGCTCTCTTGATATATATGCACGGAATAAAGCTTTCTGAAACCTATTGTCGTTTGATACCCATATTAAAATATTTGACTTAACTTTCCTTGAACGTTTTGAATCGTCATTGAAGCCTTTTCCTTTGACACTCACGTTATTGCAATACATATTTTATTTACCTTTTTAATTCATTGATTTTAACTTATGAAAAAGGTGGCAACTCGCGCTAAAGAATATCGTTTATGTTAAATCGGGCCGTAACCTCCAGCCATTTAAACGTGAAGGAGTAATGATAGAATTTTTCAAACTTACGTTGCCATTTTGATACAATTGTATCCTTTTTAATACTTTTTTTTCTAAATTTTAAGTTTTGATACTTTGATACTTTTTTGTTGACAAATACCCCATTTTGATACGTTTGGCATGTAGAAATTAATTTTTGAAAACTATGAATAATATTACTAGTTTTAAGGCAAATCATTTTTTTCTTGTTATTTAAAGTCTTAAAATTGTATGTGTAGATATTAAAAAGTTTGATTTGTAACTCTTATAAGGGAAATACA